GCCTCTCCATCGCTCGGCCCTGGAGAATTCCACAAGAGTCTGTCTCTCTCAGCCAGGGGGTCATTCTCCATCTGGTGCCCCAGTGGCTCCAGCTGACCATCTGGCACTTGAGAGGGACCTCCTGACTCAGGCCAAGTTCTCCAGCCAGGTGACCCGTACCATCCAGGCAGCCAGGCAGCCTTCCACTACCAGAATCTACAGTGCCACGTGGGCCGCCTTTGTCCACTGGTGGGCTCACTGTAACCAGGACACTCTTACACAAATTTTGGACTTTCTTCAAGAGGGTTTCGATCAAGGACTCGCTCCGAACACCCTAAGACGGCAGGTCGCGGCTTTGTCAACCATCTTGTCAACGGGCTCTCACCAACAGCTCAGCCGTCATCCGAGCATACGTAGCTTCCTGAAGGGAGCTTCAGACCTACGACTTCAGGTGGTGCATCGTTACCCTACCTGGGAGCTTTCCGTTGTACTCAGAGCCCTTTCCGACCTTTCGTTTGAACCTCTTAGGACTTCATCCATCCGACATTTGTCGCTTAAGACTTCCTTCCTCATCGCCATTACATCGGCTAGAAAAATTTCGGAGTTAGCGGCCCTGTCGGTTAAGGAGGACTTGTGTCTGATTCATAGCGACAGGGTGGTCCTTCGAATGGATCCTTCATTTGTGCCCAAAATTAACTCGCTCTTCCACAGAGCCCAGGAGATAGTTCTGCCGGACTTTTGTCCCGGACCCAGTCATCCTCAGGAGCGCTGGTGGTACACCCTCGATGTGTGTAGGGCACTGAAGAGATACATCAAGCAGACAGCTTCCTTCCATCATTCAGAGGCGCTCTCTGTATCATTCCAGCCAGAGACCGTGGGGCGCAAGATTTCCTCTTCCACCATGGGGCGCTGGCTCAAAGCTTGTATTTCACTCGCTTATGAACACTAGGGCAGACTGGCGCCGCCCAGATTGACCGCGCACTTGACCAGAAGTGCAGCCATCATGGCGGCCTGAGTGACCCAGGCTTCAGTCGAGGATATCTACAAGGCTGGAGCCTGGACATCACTTCTTTTTTTGTCAGGCATTATAAATTGGACAAATATGCCTCTGCGGATGCGGCCTTTGGAAGATGGATCTTGCAGAGTATTCTTTTTAATGACAATTGAGTTCAGGGTTCGAATTTGACCTGCCCTAGTGACATTTAGCTTGGGTATGTCCTATGCTTGGACACTCCAAGCAGTGCACAGGAGAATGACCATTGGCTTACCTGAAGGGTCATTCTCTGTGCACTGCGAGGAGTCTCCAACCCCACCCTGGGGTACTAACTTCCGGGCTAGACTGTTTACTTATCTGTCGGGGGATTTGCATCCATGTGAACCTGAGTTCTGACGGGACCATGCCTTCATTGAAAAACTGAAGCTACAGGAAGCCAGGAGGCGTGGCCAAGAATTTCAATTCAGTCCTTGGTTAGTGTGACAGAATTTAACCCATGCTTGGACACTCCTCACAGCACACAGAGAACGACCCTTCAGGTAAGCCAATGGTTATTCCCATTGAGTTTGCTTGTGAGAAGGTCGCAAAAGGTGATCACATGATCTTGGGGCACAACAACGGTCATAAATATGAATCAGTTTTCAAGCATCTGAATTTTGATCGCATAATCATGGGGATGCTGACAAGGTATAACTGTAACAAATCATCATAAGTCATGTTTTTCAGTGCCATTGTAACTTTGAACAGTCACTAAAAAAACTTGTAAGTCAAGGACTACCTGTATTCATAAAATCATCATGTTGGAAAGAAATACGGGAATAATTTAGGCTGATCCTAAATTAATACCGAATATGCATGGCAGGAAGGGAAGAGATATTCCACTTGTTCTTAAGCATTGTTTCTACCAGTATATTAATTTATAAATTTCATTCTCTGGTTATCAAGTACCCAAGGCAACCTACAGTACAAATCTATATTCTCAGCATAATATAGAATTCCAGATGCAGCTTGACCAGATAGTATAGAATGATTTCAAACCTGTCTTTCAACAGATTCAACCTTAGAATTCATTAGTGGGGTGGGTTTTTTTTTGGCAACATCCCATTTCCAGTTGTAAGTCAGGTGTCCCTAATTTTTATTCTCTCTGTATTTCTATATCAGTGCAGATCTCATATAAAATGATTGTGAATCCTAACTCTTAATTTCTCTTAGTTCTCCTGCCTTTTATTTTGAACTTTGCCTCTGTAATTCCGGCAGACTGGCCTAATGGTATTGGTTTTTTTCAGATCCCTTCATTTACCTGCCTCTTCCTTCTGTCATTCTAGGTGGTGCGCTCAGCAGCCACTAGTGGAGCAGGCAGCACCACTTCAGGTGTGGTGTCAGGCAGCTTGGGCTCCCGAGAGATCAACTATATCTTGCGAGTGCTGGGCCCAGCTGCTTGCCGAAATCCTGAGATCTTCACTGAGGTAGCCAACGGTTGCATTCGTATTGCTCTGCCCGCTCCCCGTGGCTCCGGAACTGGTAAGTACATCATAACTTTGCTGGTTCTCCTGCAGTAACCAGACGACTGTGTGTGCAGGCATGCCAAAACCTGGACTTTGACTGTTCATGTTTGAGAAGAGGATGCTCTGGATCAGGGGCAAGGAGGAGAAATGGTTTCCATAGTAGACCTTATGTGTAAAAATCCCCCCAAAGCAGATATAAGCATGCTGAACTCTATTCCCCTTTCCAACCTCTTTTTCCAGGTCCTGTTTGTAGTGTTGGCGGCTCTAGTTCTTTTTATTCTTTCTCCTTTTGCTCCCCAAGCCTCTGACGACGAGTTCGAGAACTTGCGGATTAAGGGCCCCAATGCTGTCCAGCTAGTGAAAACTACTCCAGTTAAACCTTCACCACTACCTGTCATACCTGATACGATCAAGGAGGTGATCTATGACATGCTGAATGCTTTGGCTGCCTACCATGCCCCTGATGAAGGTACATTATACCCTGGGAGATAATAGAAGAGAACTCTATATGGGTGGCATCATAGTATTTGACTGCCGAGAAGCGTTCATGACTTTTTTTTTTTTAAACAGAACTTTTTTATTTTTCTTTAAAAAAAAACACAAATATGTCATCATTTGTCAATCATTAAGACATTGAAGTACAATTTTTTTTTGTTGTGTGTACCCCTCCCTCCCTCCACCCCCCACCCCCCTCCTCCTTCCCCCCCCCCCGACTTCCCAGAACCCGTACACGGTATGGATTTTTAACTAACGCAGTCTAAAATC